AGGGCTTAGAATTTTAGGGTTTAGGGTTTTAGGGTTTAGGGTTTAGGGTTTTAGGGTTTAGTAATTTAGGTTTTAGGCTTTAGGGTTTTAGGGGGTTTAGGGTTTTAGGGTTTAGGGGTTTAGGGTTTTAGGGTATTGGGCGTTAAGTGGGTCTTGTGGTGTTAAAAGGTTTAAAGTTTTATATGAGGTTTTACATTGCTCTTGTGAGGTTTTGCGAGGGCTGCTTAAAAGGCTTCAAACTTCAGGGCGTAAAGCCGCGCACAGGGGGTGTAGTCTTTGGGATCTATGGGGTTCTTTTGGGGCACGGTGTTTTACACGGTTCTCTGCTAAGGGTTCAGAGCGTAAGCTGAATCGGCTAGCGTGAGGGGGTTCTGTGAGGCGAAGGATATTGGCGGTACAACCCATGACCTGAAGATTTCTCATAGGAACACTTCTCGGGCCCCTGTGGGCTCTCGCTACACTAAGCGTCCTAAACCTTCACCCTCAAACGGGCAGCCAAAAAGCAAGATCCGTCTCGAGGCTCTGCATGGTGCGGGTGAAGGAGTACTGGACAGCTTGCAGCACCTGCAGAGTGTGGAAACAAGCGCTAGCACGGTTCTACAAGAATCAACAGTTCTGGATTTTGGGTCAGGTTTGTTTTGGTTTGGTGGTTTTGAGTTGAATCATCCGGAATCATTCTGAATCTGAAAATGACCTTTGGAAATACTAAACCCTAAACCGTAATGCAAAACAGTCTGAAGCCCTTATAAAGGCGGCCTCCCGCACCGACTCGATCAAGGTTAAGTTCACCAAGTCGAAGCCGCCCTGGCATTGAAGTCGCCGTGCGAAAAGGGTCGAACAACGGGGCTTTAGGGTTTACCGGTTCAGGGTTTAGGGTTGAGCACTCTATGTAGGGTTCAAGGTTTCTCCAGAACCAGCATCCAACGATTGCCATGGTGCAGACGAAAAAAAAGAAACGAGAGGACAGTGAGAGGGTACCTAGGGTCAGATCAGACAGGACGGTGAGAGCAAGATAGGAAGCCAGAGTCAATAGTTGCAACAATCGCAAGCATGCCGTTGAAGATCATACGGCAAGTCAGGCCCGAACGAAGCCCACAAAACAACTTCAAACAGGGAAAAGCCTGCTACGATAATACTAATATTGAGAAGAATATTAGCAACAGTAACAACAATAACAATAACGATAACGATACAAGCGACAATTACAATAGTAATCATGACTGAAATAACAAATCAAACGAAAAACACGATAACTGTAAGAATGACTATATCAATGATTGTAGTAACAAAGAAGAATCACAATAACAACAATAAAAATAACAAACATGACAATAACAAAGGAAATATTAAAAATTCACAAACACAATAACAATAACAGCAATATTAACACTGCACAACACTAGTAGTCATGATAATAACAAGAATATTAATCCAGCCAGTTGTGGGTCAGCTCGTTGCTTCAAGAAGTCGTGGGGTTGAGTGTTCGGGATTGATTGGCCCAAACCCCCTGCAAAAGAAAAGAAAAAAAACGCCACTAAGCCCTGCCCCTTTTAGCCCCGCGTAGTTGCAGCAGCAGTAGTTGCAGTGATGGTAGTAGTGGCAGCAGCGGCAGAGGCAGTAGTAGTTGTAGCAGTAGAAGTGTAGTAGAAGCAGCAGTAGCAGTAGAGTGGCAGCAGCACGAGCTCTTAAAACAACTCTTACGCTACGGATGCGGGTAAGAAGGCAAGTGCCTCGGCTATGACCAAGTTCTCGATCATCTCCTTGTCACTCTGCACACTGGCTTGAGCATCCTGGAAAGGGACAGCTTAAGGCTTAATGGTTATGGAGTTGCAGCTTTTTCGTCGCCTCCGCATGGCCAACCTTGAGGTTGCAGCTTTAGGTCTTAAGGCGCAAGGGCTTGGGGGTACAATGGCTAGAGCAAAAAGGCTCGGAGGATCAAGGGCTATGGGCTCCAGAATTGGCATGTAAACTCACCCGCAGGATCATGTTAAAGGAGGGGTTTAAGGTTTAGGGTTTAGGGTTTATTACTTTATTTAATTCTGGACCACCCGTATTGCCCCTCAAGCACCGAAGAACGCCTTTAAGGCCGACACCCCAAAGCCGAAATAACGTTTGACCCCTAAACCCTAAACCTCTACCTGAAGCCCTTATGAACGAGGTCCTGAAACCCTAGACCCTAAACCTGAAACCCAACATTGAACCATAAACCTTAAACTCAACACCCTAAGCCTCAAACCTTGAAACTAAATCTAAGCCCGAAGCCCCAAACCCCAAACCTTCAAATTCTGAACCCTAAACCCTACACCCTAGACCCCAAACGCTAAACCCTGAACCTTAAACGCTCTCAAATCTCCGTTTCCTGAACCTAGTGTAGGGGCAATTAATAACTAGAATCGGGCTCTGGGCTCCTTTACCTCCTTTATAGTATAGTCATAATAAGGAAACCTAAGGAAAAATATTGGTGATTATTTAATGTAGGGGCCTTAATTATTTCAATAGGGTTTTGGCGGTTCCTAATTCTGATTCTGACTATAATACAACATACCCCACAACCCTCTTCGAACTATTAAGGCCCCTATGTTACTATGAACGCAAGAAGGAGCTAATATACCCCACAACCCTAGTCTAAATATGAAGGCCCCTATATTAGGCTTCTATACTAACCCTGAACCCTAAACCCTAAACCCTATAGTAGGCTTCTATACTATTAAGGCCCTTACACCCCAAACCCTTATAGTAGCCGTTATAGAACCTTTAAAGGAACCCTGATTGTTAAGGCCCCTATATTAGGCTTCTATACTACAGGGCCTGGAGTCGGAGGTGGGCCCTAAACCCTAAACCCCAAACCCTATACTTGGAGGTTCATGGGTAGTTATAAGTGGAGTTATAAGTAAGCTAACTATAATTATAACCCATATTAGGGGACTTATAACCCTACTTATAACTACCCATGAACCTCCAAGTAGCAGGCTTCTATATTAACGGGCCTGGAGTCGGAGGTGGGCCAGCTTCCGGCTGACATTCAGAGCCAGGTCCATGCTTCCGCTCCTCGGGCGGTTGGAAGGTTTAGGGGGTTTGGGTTTTGGCGGCTTAGGGTTTGAGGTTTAGGGTTCAGGGTTTAGGATTTAGGGTTTAGGTTTTTAGGGGGTTGAGGTCTAGGGTGTGGGGTTCTTTTTTCTCTCTCGCATGAATGAGGATTGTACTCACGGCGAGGTGCAATATGAGACTAAATGAGACTGTAGAAAAGATCTGAAGTGACTCTCTAAGCAGTGAAGCAGCCCTCATCATTTCAATGAGCCAACATGCACTCACGCAAAATGCCGACAAATTCTAACGCAGGTCTCTCACAGGCCATCTCACTTATGTACGACTCAGGTCTCGCAAAGGCCATCTCACATATGTACGTGTTCGCTTTCTCCATAGGGTTTGGGGTTTAGGGTTTGGGGATCAGGGTTTAGGGCTTAAGGTTTAGGGTCTAGTTTAGGGTTGAAGCTTATCATTGTTTTAGAGGCGTAGGGGTTTAGGGTGGCTGTCGCTTCGGGAGGGTTTAGGGTTTAGGGTTTAGGGGTTTAGGGGTTTAGGGTTTAGGGTCTCGTTTGGAGGTCTAGGGAACAGGGTGCAGGAAATGACCTTTAAGGCTTCTTGGTCTGTGGGTGGAGATAGGGCTTAGGGGGTTTTGAGTAGGGTTGTGCTCCTTTGCACTTGCTCGGTGCTGTCGCTCCCCCTTTCTCAGCAGGAATGAGCGACATTTGAACTTACAGGTTTAAGTCCGAACTGAAACTTCAATGTGCGACGCTGCAAGACTACACCGTGAAACCGAAACCCTACAAAGTCAACTCATCAAGCCCTGAACCCTTGAGGGGGTTCCGGTTTAGGGGTTTTGGGGTTGATACAGTAGTTTAGGGTGGGGTGGGAAGACTGGCTCAGACGGAACATTGCCTTGCAGAGTGTGCAGCTGAGGGTTATCACTTACTTCCGTGGGACCTGGTAAGCAGAGAGCTGTTGGGCCATGAAAGCCTCCGGCCCAATGTCCTAAGGTCAAAACGAACACCTCTGACAGCAGAAAAGTCACCCGTTGTTCATGATCCCCAGCCTGGTCTGATGTCACTTGCACTCAGCCGGTTGCTGGCAGGACGGGGTTTAGGGGTTGTACAATAACGAGGCCTACCATAAGGGTTTAGGGTCCATGGGAACTATGAGGTTCCTTGCAAGGGTTCGGGCATACTATAGGCTATAAGACTTGCCAAAAAACATCATAAGAGTGGTTGTGAGGTCTACTACATTGTTTCTTGGTAAGGCCTGCTACAAGAATTTGGTGGTTTACCGTTTAAGGGTCCTATTATATATATATATATATGTATGTATATGTATATGTGTATATATATATATATATATATGTATGTGTGTATGTGTGTATATATATATATATATATTCTTTCGGCAACTATAAGGTTCACCAATTTGCAACAGGCTTTCCACTTCGCCCGGAGTTGCCCTAAACCCTAAACGCTAAACCCTAAGGTTCACCAGCAGGGTTTGAACCAGTCTCAGGTTCAGTATAGGGCCTTGGAGGTCTTGGGTTTAGGGTTTAGGGTCTAGGGTTTAGGGTTTAGGGATACTAAACGGTTCACTGGTTCAGCATCAAGACTTGGAGCTGAGGGTTGCTATACCTAGCGCCGACACAAGCCATCTTTTCAGATTTACTTATTATGCTTTCTACGTGTCCTTCCGTAAAACGGTATGTCCGTTAGGTCACCGGTAAGGCTTACTAGACGGTTTGTGGTATACGGCTTAGGCTTAATATGCGGTTTACTACTATAGGGGTCTTGCTTTGAGGCTAGGAAACGTATAGTACAGGGTTTTGTAGTTCAGGGTGACTGAAGGGTCCACGGAGAGGGTTTGCGAGGTGTAGCGTTGCAACCTGATTTTCTCTGTTGGGTTGGGGTTTAGTTTAGGGCTGCTATACGGTTTACGTGTACGTAGGGCTTAAAGTTGCTACAGGATCTTCTTTAAGGATTACTATCATTGTAAGGACAGGGTTTTAGACCAGTGCCAGACCCGACGTTTTAGACCAGCGCCAGACCCGACCATCACGTCTGTGGGCACTTCAGAAACTTACGGACCCGACAAGCTGCCCCAAACAGCAGCATCCGTAGTTTAAAGACCCCTTATAAAGCACCCCTATGTTTCAAACAACCCTAAACCCCAAACCCTAAACCCCTTCTAGGTGCCAGGAGGTGGGTTCGGCTGGGGTGGTGGGGCTTCCCTGTAAACGCCAGAGGAGCCCGAAAGATCACCTTGACCTAAACATAAACTTATTGCTGCACTCTTCAAAGGGAGTAGGTTTCAATAGCTTATGTTCACGTGGTTTTTTTGTGCCCTAAACTAAGGTTCGCATCCGGGTGGGCTGAAGCAGGGGCAGGGTTTTGTGGCACACCAAGCTCGTCTGCTCAAAAACCCGACTGCCACAACCCCGAACCTCAAATGCAAAAGCATACTATTTAAAACCACTGAACCCTCAACCCCGGACCCTAACCAGTGCAAAGCTGAACCTTAAACCCCCCAACCCTACTGCTTCGCAGACTCCAAACTCCATGCGCTTGTAGGAAATACATGAGGAGTGTCCGAAATATCCATCCGAGGGGCGGTGAGCAAAGCCTTGGCGATCTTGAGAATCTAAGGTGTAGTCTAGGTTATTTGAATGAGGATGAAGGTAGGATTAAGGACGTCGAGCCCTTTGGGTTTAGGCTCGGGACATCGCGATTGAAGGTCTACGGGCGGAGCATCGAGGGCCGTGGGGGTGCATGGCTGTCAGGTTTACGATTCGGGGATTACACTCGGACAATCCAGGCGAGGCATCTAGTTTAAGACTTTACGGCTTAAGGCCTAGGGTTGGGCCGTTAAGTTCCATGCAGCACCAGCACTGTAAACTATTAGTCGTGGGCTGCTGAAAGTGGTGGTAGCACTGGTTCCCTTCTGGGGCTAGATTCAAAATGATCATGTCCAATCCTCATTGAGTTTTATGATCACAAAAGTGTAAAATTGTATCCAACAACGACCCAGCATAGAGCTTAGCCCTAAACCCTAAACCCTAAACCCTACACCCTAAACCCTACAAACCCTAAACCCTACACCCAAACCCTAAACCCTAAACCCTACACCCGAAACCCTAAACCCTATAAGCCCTAAACCCAAACTGCCACTGCGGCTCTGATCTGCAAGAATCCTCCGGACGTTACAAGCACTCCTAGGGCCGAAAGCTTCGGCCAGAATTTTTCTATAGCAGATTATAATACAGTGTACTGTAGTATAGTTAGAATATACTAGAATAGCTACCATGTACTACACATGCCATGATACACTGCAATATACTATAATACAGTAACATACTATAGCATACCAATATACCTAAAACTTCCGCACGATGTGAAAACCGAGGCAGATCCCTACCTTAACACGACAGAGGGGAACAACTGAAGCCTGGTACATCACTCAAGCCCTCTTGCACCGAGAAGCTTGAGCCCGCGATAAGTCTTGCCGCGGGCCTCTGGCATTGGTTTAGGGTTTAGGGTTTAGGGTTGCCCACTAGCATCCATTCCAGAGGCCTCGTTGCAAAACATATGCACACCTACCACTCCTTGTCAGGTTTTGAACCCTACAGCCTTTTTACCCCAAACCCTAAACCTGAAACCTCCGCTATTGCTGATAACAGCCCCTGCAGTTGAGTTTAGACCACCTCCAGATTCTCGAAGTTTCAAGGTCAAGATAGAGAGAGCTTGTCTTTATCTCAGGCTACAAAGACTTCACTGAGATGTCAGGATTATCCTTCTGGCCCCCAATAGAAAGAACGCTTGCACCACAGAGACATATTCTACAAAGTTTTTCAGGTTTCAGGCAGCACACCCGGTAAAGTCTATCATTACGCATCACGCCTATTATATCCCTAAACCCTAAAGGGTTTACACCCTCAAACTCTGAACCCTAAACCCTAAAACCTAAACCCTAAACCCTAAACCCTCAAACTCTGAACCCTAAACCCTAAACCCTGAACCCTAAACTCTGAACCCTAAACCCTGAAACCTAAACCGTGCCTTCTTGAGTATCGTGGTCTGGAGCAGCTCGAACAAGCCTGGAGCTTTCAGGGTTTAGGGTTGGTTTAGAGGTTAGGGTTTAGGGGTTCCTTTAAGGGTTCTATAAGGGCTACTACTAGGATTTGGGGTTCAGGATTTAGGGGTTAGGGTTTAGGGTTTCTTCCAGGGTTTAGGGTGTAAGGGTTTTTTTTTTTAAGTGGGACACGCCTTTGACTGTCGACGCTGCCATGCAGGGTGTAAGGGTTTAGGATTTCAGGTTTTTCCCTACCTAGCAAGGACGAGCCCGCATAGCAGGGCAACTCCGAAGCAACAGCGGAAGGTTTTTGTTCCCTCCCGCATGGCTGGGGGAGGGTTTGGGGTATAGGGGGGTTTAAGGCTTCAAGTTCTATATAGGGGCTTTCCGAAAATAGGGTACCTTATATAGCACCCTGAATAGTAGGATCCTTACTATAAGGACCCCAAAATAAGGTACCCCTTATTTTCGGAAACTCCCATATAAGGTTCAAAAGCTTGAAGTTCTAGGGCACAAGGCGCTGAGGCTTGCAGGGCTTCCTCCGAAGGAGCCTTAGAGTCGGGCGTGAATATAGGGGCCTTCATAATTCGGGTTTAGGGTTTAGAGTTTAGGGTTTAGGGTTTAGGGTTTAGAGTTTAGGGTTTGGGGTTTAGGATTTGTTTGGGGGTATATTATACTATAGTTCTAATCAGGAGCCCCCAAAATAGTGGTCATATCGTTGTGTTTGTCAGTCAGATATGGTCCGTGGCTGTTGGCAGTGTGGCACAGGGCTACGTACACTGCTCACAAGCAGAAAAGTAGATGCGGACTGCACGTGAAGGCTATCTTCCTGTTCGCTTTGTGGGTGCTTGGTGGTCGACTCCTCATTGGGTGCTTTACATACGCACACTCACCCATCCACCCATCCACCCAATCCACATACATCCCTCCATACACGCATACATGCACATATACGGTTACTTGTCTATCTGTCTGTCTATCCATCTAGGTCCATCTTCCGACCCTCCGACCTAGCTATCTACCTTATCTACCTGCCTACCTTGTTGAAGTCTAGCTATGTATATCGCTTCTCTCTCTCTATCTCTCTCCTGCCTCTGTCAACTACAGTCATCAAGAACTTAAAATTATGGTCATTATGATATAGATGTCCGCTGGACACTCCGACTGTGGTGTTCATTGTAAACTCCACACCAAGCGACACCAAGAGCGGGTAAGCGGCATGGCTTCGTCGTCAAACCTCGCATAGGGTTTAGGGCTTAGGAAGTTTAGGGTTTACTTTGACTCACAGAATACGATCGTTGATTCCGGCCCCCGGAGATTGCAGAAATATACCGGCATCTTAAACAAGTAGCACTATCCCGCTCCTATAAAAGTATAGTAGACCCACGAAAATCATTCTCCACTCTTATGTCAGGATGCCGAAGCTCAAGCACCGTGCACCGAGTTCTTTAGGTTTGAAGGTTTAAGGTTGAGGGTTTAGGGTTTAGGGTTTTTGTTTTAAAGTGCAACGGCCTTTCACACTGTTAGCGCGTCTTGCCTGCAGGGTTTAGGGTTTAGGTTTGAAGGTTTGGGGTTGAGGGTTTAGGGTTGAGGATGACTAAGACTAAGGAGTGGGGTCATTGCAGTGTGGGGCATTCGATGATGCTCGCATCACTATGGTGGGCCCTGGGCAGCTCAGTCCAAGCCAAGCATCGTCACGCAGACTGCGGTTGTTGGCTACGTGTGGCGAGAGCTTCCTAGCACTTGGTCTCCATGTTCTGAGGGCCCTAGTATGTCCTAGTGACCTGAGGTGGTGCCCAGAGACCGGGATGCCACCGTGGCCAAGCTACAACTCAGCAGTCGAGCACATTCTCTCCTAGCAGTCCGCAAGCCCTTGCCGACCCTGCGGACCGATCAAAAGCCCGCCGAATCCTAGAATCGCCTCGTGCACTGCTCCAAATCACCATCATTTTTCCATGCTGGGTCCGTCTTCATGCCCCCACATCACAAGCCCTAGCCCGTGTTTTCGAAAAACCCGTGAGCCTCCCCAAAGACTAAAACTAAAACCCTAAAGCCTAAACCAGAACATGCCTGAACCCCGCGAAATCGCCAACTCCGCCATTGTGTTCAGGCCAGGCGGCACCATGGCCGTGCCATGAGTAGTGGGGCTGTGAAGCGCCATGTAAAACGACGACACGCCTCGTTGGGGCTTGGGGATTCGGGTTGAGAACCCTTGCAGAAGCCGCTTGATTTAGGGCTGATAGCGCTGCAGCCAACAGGCAATAAAAATAACAATAATAACAATAATAATAATAATAAACAATAACGATTGTCATCATCATCATCATCATGATCATGGTCATAATAAGAATGCACACAAAAAATGCAACAGCTTCCGACAAGAACAGAATATGCATACCACGCTGCCACAACGCGAAATGGAACTGTGATTCTTCGTAAAAAAATTAAAAAAAATTAAAAAAAAAAAAACAAGCCCAAGTCACGAAAAGAATAAACAGGTCCAGCGCCCGGCTTCCAAATAATTTGGGCCCATGTTTATTTCAGGTCGAATCCGAAAGATACCCAAACGGGTATGTTCTTGCCTATATTGTAGCCTGGGCGGTTCTGGGGTTTGGGTTTAGGGTTTTAGGATGTAGACATACTTACAGCTGAGCCTTGTGGGACTGAAGCCCCAAACCCTGAACCCTAAACCCTCAACCCTAAACCCTCAACCCGAAACCCTCAACCCTAAACCCAGAACCCTAAACCCTAAACCTTCCCGAACCTCGGCCTCAGGGGCTTAGGGTTCAGGGTGTGCGGTGTGAGGCCGCTTGAGGACTTCAGATTTTATGGCGAGGCTAAACAGGCTTCGGCAAAGGGTTCAGCTTGTGGGTTGAGGGTCTAATATAGGGGCCTTAAAAATTAGAATAAGGTTTTAGGGCCCATCATGCTGTTATTACAACAAGGAACCCCCCAAAACAGTGTTGGTAATTATTTAGGCTCCTACATTAGGTTCATTATTGTGAGATCCAGTAACACCGAAACACAGTCGCCGCTGGCGAGCCAAAAAAAAAAAGTCGTGCCCAAGCCCTGTGCCGTGACAGCCAGTTCTAGGTCGTCCCTTGAAATCCTTGGAAAAATTTGTTCTTAAGTTAGACTAAGTTAGACCCCTCTTAGACCCACTAATGGCAAACACAAAGTGTACCAAAGGCCTAAGCCCCCAAACCCGAAAGCCTGTACTCTAAACGCTAAACCGAGCGTTTGCTGTTGGAATCACAGTGAATCACATACCGAGGCCGATGTGCGCCCCTAAACCCTAAACCCTAAACCCTAAACCCTGAACCCTAAACCCTAAACCAACACTGACGAGCCATGGAAAAAACAGCCGAGGCTCTCCAGTCGCCTCCACCCAACTCCTAGTTGGTTTAGGGTTTAGGGTTTAGGGTTTAGGGTTTAGGGTTTAGGGTTTAGGGTTTAGGTTTTAGGGTTTAGGGTTCAGAGTTTGAGGGTGTAAACCCTTTAGGGTTTAGGGATATAATAGGCGTGATGCGTAATGATAGACTTTACCGGGTGTGCTTCGGGTTTTGGGTTTTGGGTTTGTGGTCTTGGGTTTTGGGTTTTGATTTAGGGTTTTGGGTTTTCGGACTTCCAGCGGCCTAGTTTACTGAACTGTGGTCTGGCTGTAGCAGAGGCCGTGTCCCGTCCCTTTACACCCAGAGGCTTTACACTTTGGGTCATTCCCTCCAACCTTAGGTCTTTAGGGTTTAGGCCACGTTTGTAACATGATCTCGGCTACGACGTTTTACCGCATCGATGCATTGCAGAAATCACCAAGGCACGGAAGGCACAGAACCTGTTTTTACCCCTTCAAGGTATTTTAGCCACTCCAACTTTTATTTGTACTGCTTCGTTCGACTGATTGTGCCGGCATCCGCGGCATGGAGCTCGCGAGGTTTAGGTTTGCGCTCAAGGGGCGAACGCCGCGCACATGCATGGGTCTCGCGTTGAAAACCGATTATCTTTAAAGCTTACTGGTGTGGGCTTAGGGCCTCTGACTTCAGTATTTTGAAAGCGCTCTTGTGTGAACATGCGACGAGTGCAGAAGCCGAAGCCCACCACTAAGCCATGGGTTTTCGACTCTCACTCTCGCACANNGCTTAGGGCTTTAGGGTTTTCGGGTTACATCCAGGGAAAACCCAAGAAAGCTGGAACCCTGAACTCCCGAGGTGTTTCCTCGTGGATGCTCTCCGGATCGCTCTGGTTGTTGCTGAAGGTGCAGATCCTGCCGCGCGGTTTAGAGTTTAGGGCCTAGGGTGGATTTTGCCAGTACGGCGATTGCGAGCCATTTGAGGCTCTGTGACACAAGAAGACCTCTGACTCTTACCCTTAGTTTAGAAAAAGCCCCAAAGCATAAATCTAGAAATGGACCAACTCCAAACTTTCTCGAGAGCCTGGCTCAGGGTGGCGTGTCTTGAAGCAGGGCTTGGGCACATCACATCGCGGAACCCAAAACAACATCACATAGAGAGACATAAACGTAGTCATACGCAGACAAACAACTTAAAGCAGAAACACACAAAACATAAGCAGAAACATAAAACATAAGCACCAAGCAAAAAAAAACACACACACACACAACATAACACTGCACAACACAACACGACAGATGATGACAATCAACGCATACACACACACCTGTACACCAGTCTTCATGCATGTACGCATACATACATACGTACGTACGCAC